GAGTCCCCGCGCCTGCTGGGGTCTGTGCAGTTCGGGGTGGGGCATGTGTGGGGGAGGGGCGGCGAAGGGGGCAGAGCTGGGGGTTGAGCGATCTTGCTGGGTGGTGCATGGATGGGGGCGGGGGTGCCCTGGCCTGATCCAAGTGCCCCAGGCACCCTTGTGATAGACCATAAGCAGGCACCCAGGCCTCCCACCATGCAGGGCTACGAAGGGATACCAGGGAGTCGGGACATGCTTGTCCTGCTGGGCCTGCTTGCTGTTGGACTCTGGTCACCAACCGGTAGATCAGGATTTACTGGTAGATCTTGGAGCTTTGACAGGTGATCCTGACTGGTTTGGTAAGTGCCCCAGGCACCCTTGTGATAGACCATAAGCAGGCACCCAGGCCTCCCACCATGCAGGGCTACGAAGGGATACCAGGGAGTCGGGACATGCTTGTCCTGCTGGGCCTGCTTGCTGTTGGACTCTGGTCACCAACCGGTAGATCAGGATTTACTGGTAGATCTTGGAGCTTTGACAGGTGATCCTGACTGGTTTGGTCTGGAGGCTGTCAAATGCTGGCTCTTCATCTGTCCCTCTCAGCACTGCCTTGGAGCTGCCCCTCACCCTGGGAGCCTCTTGCTTGCAGTGCAGGGCACAGGTAGAACAGGGGGTGCTCATGTTAGGGTGCCCCTTCCCCCACTCTGTACCCCGTCTCCACAGAGTTGAGAGGCAGGGATGGAGTGAGTTTGCTGGCCGCTTTGGGAGCGGTGTAGGGCCAGAGTAGGAGTGAGTCTGCCTTAGTCCCATGTACCACCCCCGAGAAGCCAACTGTGGTAAGCAGTGCCCAACTGGAGCTTGCATTCTGAACCTTGGCCCCGGTCCTGAACCTGTTCTGCACCTGTAACCTCTGCCCTAATCCCCAATCCCCCTGTACTCAAACTCTCTTCCAGAGCCTGCACCCTGAACCCCCTCCTGCACCTCAGTTCCCTGCTCCAGGCTCAGTTCAGAACCCCACCCACACTCCAAATCCTTTAGCCTAAGATCAGTGTCCGAATCCCCCTCCTCTGCATTCCAGCCTCTGCCCCAAGCCTGATAAAAGTGAGTGAGGATGGAGTGAGCGGGGTGGGGGCCTGTAAGAAGGGGTGGGAAGGAGGAGGTGCATGGGTGTTTGTGTTTGAAGTGGCTCCTGAATTGCACTTTTTAAATTAAAAAACTGATCTTGTGCTTAAAAAGGTTGGAGACCACTGCTGTAGGACACAGAAGGGGGGTAGGAATGTGTCCTGTGTGGGTGGCCAGCCAGCATCTACCTGTGCGCAACAACATTAAAGGGGCCCGAGAACCTAACAATCATGAGCTAGCCTGCTTGTGTGCTACCTGGTAGTATCACTGCCATCCTTGAGGTTTCTGGAGAAGACAGATGAGAGAGAAAGTGGGTCTGATTTTTTCCCTTTTATATTGTGCATTTGGCACCATTTTGTGTGCAGTCATTGTCTTTTTTTCCCCTCTTTGGTAAATCATTTTTGTCTTTTTGGCTCTTCCCCTTAGAAACAGAGGAGACATGTTTTTTAAAATAAAAAAACAGTTGTAAAGACACAGAACTTGGCAGGGAGATCTTAGCAATTTGGTAAGAGCATGCTGACTCTTCTAGCTCTCAAAGTGCATTCAATATTTGGCCGAGCTTGCCAAGCCTTCCACTTGATTTGATGGCATTTGTCTGTTTGGTTATATAATAGAATCACTTTTGAATATTGCACAAATGGTGGACACTTGCAGCGCCCACCATCTCTTTAGTAAAGCTGTATTTTCAAGTACGTCTGTAATTGTCAGAAAATCAAAGAATCAGTTAATGGCAACAAATTAATACCTCCTAGCATAACAATAGTCCTGTCTCATCTGTTCATCCATAGTTTTAATGTGTTGACAAGCTGAATTATTTTTCTCCAAATAATGGGGGTAAGGGGGCAGTAAACAGAGCTTTCAGTTGTGGGGGGTAGGAGCGGGGGGGAAATGGAGGATATCACAAACCATGTTGTGGGGAGGTGAGGACTGGGAGGCACACAGAATCCCTTATGTGCAGGGGGGAGGGTGGCAGAGAATTCCTTAAATAAGAGGAGTTAGGAGGGTGAGACTGGAAGGATGTAAGGAGCTCCTGGTGTGTGCATGAAAGCTTACCAACTCCATGTTTCTAGATTAGATGCTGAAGTTTTGGGTGCTGTATAAATACCAAGGTAAATAGCTCTGAGTGATGTAATTTAGAAACATTTTCTATGAACAGCACTAATCCCTATATCCCTTCCTTGCTGACTTCAAGTGTAATAAATATATTTCTAAATTTCACTTTGGCTTCTCTCTGGCAGCTTTTTTGTCAAATTGGCCTGGGCCTGGACATTCTGGCTGATGCTGCCGTTCATTGCCATCACCAACTACTGTCTCAGCCAAAACATCCTGGGGATGCTACGGCGTCTCAGTACCCTGCTCGTGGGCACCATGATCTGGTATATCTGCACTACTTTCTTCTTGTACGTTGAGGATTTCACTGGCAGCTGCTACAAATCGCCAGCACTGGATGTGCAGTTCCGGGAACACCTCAGCAAGCGACAATGCCACCAAGGTGGTGGCTTCTGGCATGGCTTTGACATCTCTGGGCACTCCTTCCTCCTATCATTCTGTGCCCTAATGATTGTGGAGGAGATAGCTGTGCTGCGTGTCCTGAACACTAATCGGAACCTAAGATTACATACAGTGGTCAATGCCCTGTTCGTTGCCTTGAGTTTTCTGACCTTGATATGGGTCTGGATGTTTTTTTGCACTGCTGTATATTTCCATGACTTCTCCCAAAAATTATGTGGCACCCTAGTGGGTCTATCAGCCTGGTATGGAACATACAGGTTCTGGTACTTGAAATCCTTTTCTCCTGGACTTCCACCCCAAATTGTTAGCTTGAGTTCAAAGAAACCTAATCGTAGCAGATAAAAAATTCTGTATTTCAGATTTTGTTTTAAATACAGGGATATTAGTTTGTTTAAGGCTACTTTATTATATTTTTTAAATTTTAAGGAGCATGTTCAAGGGAAGGGGAAGAAAGGGCAATGGTCTTTAGAGTTTGATGCCTGGCTTTTGGCTCTGGTCCAGTCCCTGGTGAGCAAATGTTAATCTTGCAGAACTGCCTACCAGGATTGAGGGTAATTGGTCACCTAACTGAAAATCTGAGCAGAGAGGCCAAGGATTGGATCCCACAGAGAGATTGAATTCCCTTCTTGAGTCCTCCTGGCAAGGTAATATAAGGAAGACCTGCACAGCTACTACCTATTCTCTGTTTGCCTGCTCTGTCCAACAGAGAGTCTTGAGAGCTTCAAGGCAACGCCTTTCACTGATATGAAATTCACCATTCTCTTCCCCACCCTCATCTTTTTTTAAGATTAAAATATTTCACATTATCCAAACCTTGTGCTAGGTTTTACACCTGACTTTTTGAATACTCTAGTTGTAATCTTTGTAAATAGGCCGAGGGGCAGTGTAATGGTGCTAACTATTGCAACAGACTTTTAATTGGCAATCAAAATTCACTTTGTGTTAAAGTAGAATGTAGAATTCTCAGACTGTTAAATACTTTCATTTTCCATAAAT